ACGGCGGAGCTAGCAGAGCTCGTCCCGTCCACGGGGACAGGCGCACACGGGCTGGGAATGCAGCTCGGTGGCAGAGTGCTTGAGAGCACGCCTGAGCCCCTGCGTTCGATCCTAATACTGAGAAAACAGCAAAGGAAACAACCAACGAACCCACACCACACAAACCAACAAACAACCAGGTGATGACTCTGAGGCTCAGAGGCCTAACCTGATGCCCCAGCCCCACCTAACATTGCAGCAATGGGGTCGGGGCTTGGTGGGGGGGCCCAGTAGGGCAGGGCCGAGACTGAATTTCAGAGCTCTCCACCTGATTCCTGTCTGATGTCTGCTTCCACAAACACCCTTCTTTGCAGACATCCCTTCCCCGGGCTCTTCGTCAAGCGTGCGGGGAGTTGATGTTTGTAACCTCATGGAAACGTTATCGGAATTCTAGCAGGTTGATTTCCGATCTACCAACTTCCGGTGCAACCCATGGCAAGAATTAAAGACACCGAGACACATTTATACTTGGGGGCGGGGGCGGGGGCGGGGAGGGGTGGCTGTGCGGGCGCGCCGAGGGGTCCTAAGTCCGGCCAGGGTGAAGGGTCATCGGGAACAAAGGCCTCGACCCAGGGCCTAACCCGGATTTTATTAATTCGTGAAGAAGGCAGTGGCTAGAGGATGAACCACTGCGACAATGGCGGGAATGCCGTGAGTACTGTGAGCTGGGCCACGCACGAGACCTGCAACCACCCCTCCAACGTGCAGAAAGACCCATCTGCGTAAGGCAACTGAGGCAGCATTTCATGTTCGGAGGGCGATGCTTCAGCTCTGACCTGTAGTGTAGAGCTTCATGCCCGGGGAAGCCGTAGCCTCTCACCTCGAGGCTGGAACCCAGTTGACGGCCCTGGAGCGGTGGCTCTGCTTCCCGCCCGGCTCAACCACGTTTGGATTGGGGGGTCACGGGGCAGGGGAACAGGGACCGCCACCGAGCTTCAAAGATCACGCGTCAGCACCTCCTCGGCCAGCCCCATTTACATGGCTTAGAGCCCATGGAAGGCAAAAAGGTAATGGCTCGGTGGGCTCTGTCCTTATCAGCCCGTGGAGACAGGGCCTGGCCTGCTTTAGCCCACCTGGAGATAAGTGTTCTTCTTTGTTCGAGGAGAGTCCTCCAGGTGGTCCTCCACACTCCTTAGCAGTTGCAGCGGAGACACCTGAACTCAGACTTGGCCTGAAACCGGACCGCTTCCACACACATCAAAGCGTTCGGGGCAGATACTCAAGAACCCGCGTGAGACTGAGGGAAGAGAGAAGGCCCGCTTTGGTCCCAGGCAGGAAGAGAGCGAATCTTGGGGCTGGGGCTGGGGCTGGGGCTGGGGCTGGGGCTGGGGCTGGGGCTGGGGCTGGGGCTGGGGTGGGGGTGGGGGTGGGTGTCCACCCTAAGGGGAATATGTCAAGAGCAAGTCCAGAAGCCCGAGTCCTGCCACCACTAGGAGGAATTAGATGGACGCTCTGGGTCCATGGAAACAAACCTCTCCCCCAAGCGCGCCTCCTCTTTCTGTAGTCCCACAACACACATCAGCTCCGGGACCCGAACACAGGCAAGGTTCTCCTGGCACGGACACACCGAGCTGTCAGTTCTGCGGTGACACCAGCGGCTCTCCTCGAGTTCAGTAGCGACGCCATCGACCTGGAGATCCCGCATGTTGGGAGGCCAAGTGCCCAAGGATGACCCGAGACCCGGCTGCAGATGCCAGCTGCGTGTCACAGGTTGCGCCTTGCGCAACCCTAGAATACCACCCTAGAAGCCCCAGTTCCCACCCACCGCGGGCACACTGACTCTACCTGGGGGACAGCACTTCACCGACACCTACCCAGTTTATTACTAAGGATATTACAAAGGATACGGGGAAGAGAAGCTCCGGGTCAGCTGTGTAGGGAAGGGTGCGGGACTCGAATGCCTGCTTTGGGAGCAGCGGCCGCCTGAAACCTCCCTGTGTTCAACTAGCCGGAAGCCCCCCAAACACTGCCCTGTGGGGCTTTCTATGCAGACTGGAGGGCACTGGCATCACTGGTAACAGACTGGGTGGGGAGACCCGGGAAAAGAAGTCACTCCCTCCCCCTACCTCCCCCTCCCCCACTCTGTCTCAGCCTGCGTCCACCTCTGCGTCCCCCTCTGCGTCCCCCTCGCCTCCTCCTCCTCTCCTGCTCCTCCTCCTCCTCCCCCTCCTCCTCCACCTGCTTGTGGCGGGGCATGTTGCAGGGCTCCCTGGAATGCAAAGCTCTGATGATTTTTGTCTCTGTGTGCTCTGTTGGGAAACTATGCTGTGAGACGGGGCAATAGACCAGGATAACTCGGGGGCATCCTGGTGGCCACGATTCCAGATGGCCACAGCCAGCTGGGCTGATCCCCCACCCCACCCCCAGACCTTATCAGGTTTCACACACACACACGGGTGTGAAGTTCCTGGACTGGCACGCCGCCCTGCCAGTCTCTGGACGGACAGAATTAAATGCAGTG